AATACTTCTAAAGTGCTATCGTCTACAGACGAACACAAACCAATTGTACTGACTGACTAACCACAGCAACGCGACAACGCAAAAAAAAAACTAAATTAAAAACAGCTACGTTTCAGTTGTATCAGCATGTATTCCTAAAATTATAATAACTCTACAGATCCATATATGACTTCGAAAGTGAGGTCATACAAACACCACCTATAATTTTGATATATGTATTCAAGAATATAAATATTGCTAGCTGAATACATAAAGTTGACCATGAAGCCAATTTAATACAAGACGTATTTAAGTCCGATTTCTAAATTGTTCAGTAATGTCTTACAACAGACGCTAATAGATTTCCAACCTAATGAGTCAAATAAACAATTGCATTGAATTTATGCTTATTCGTACATAAGAAAATTAAGTATATACAGCTCTACATTAATACATAGAAGTCTAGCTACGAACAACAACGCATCAAGTAAATCTTGCAGTTGTGTTGTGATATGCGCCGTTTTGCAAAAAAAAGTGTTTGTTGTAACAGCCAGTTCACGTCTCATGCCTAACAGTCCAAGAGATAAGGCATTTAAGCAGTGCCTACTTGAAAAATAAATTTATTATCTATCAATAACCCCAAGCCCACCTCAAAAAGAAAATGCCCGCCGCTTAATCTACTTTAAACTCGTTTTAAGCGCTTCGCGGCTTCCAAATTGTAATACCTATAAGATACAATATCTTTTGTTATGTTGCATTGCATATGACATTGAAAATTAGATAAACATTCGTCATAGTCGTGATAATAATACAGTAGCACATCATATCATACTAAAGATGTTGCAAAATCACTTCTTTTACAAAGTCGCAACAGCGATTACCTTGATGTGCCTTCGTCCGCACATAGATAGGTATATCTTGACGATCTGTAAGGCCATATTTTATACAAAATATCCATAATACATATCATTATAACAAAATTGCATATCTCATAACCGATTATATGCTGAAAACAGGAAAAACTCGAAAGCATCTCGAAATTACACATAATTGCACCCGTATACATCAAGCATGTATTCAAGGAATACGTAATGAACATTAGGTACGGATGGCGTATAAACCTAAACACTGGTGTCTTATTTTGTTTGTAATAGGTGCTAGTTTGGAACAACATAGTAGTTTGACTGTAAGTTTGCTGCTCTAGTGAAATACACCTGCCCTGTCAGCCGCTTCCTCGCATCACTTTTATTTCCTCGGACCACTTTACTGCCAAAAAAGGTCCACCTTAATTTGGTCCGTGAAGTTGGTACTTTTCCTCTTTTTTCGTCTATTCCGCGTAGGTCTACATGAGTGGTACGGTTCCACGGTTTACGAGAAGTAAATAATTAAAACCCGTAGGTAATTTGATGCGAGGGATGCCCGGCGGAGGTGTTTATGTGAGGAGCCTCAATTGGATGACGCGTGGAACACTGGTAATCCTCCGAGAGGGAGCTCTGAATGTGATTAGGTTAATCTTCCTAACCAACAAGCATTGTTTCAATTCCAGAGAAAGAAAAACCCAGCTATTTCATGTGTTTTTCTCTTTTATTTTGGGGAAACTGCATCAATCTATAAAGGGAAGATGTTCTTGCTAGGTTGTGTACTGTTGTAAAATTACAGTCTCCTTTGAGACAATTGTAACTAAGTTTTAATGGTGCTTTTTCACTTTTCCACAATATTAGATGCATTGTAGAAAAAAACACAACTTTAAACAAACTAAACTACACTGGAGGAAAGCTAGGTCAGGTAGGTACTTTTGAAGATATAGAAGATTTTCTAACAGTCCCTTTTTCTTTGCGGTCCAGTGCAATGCAGTTCAGTTTTTCTACATTTAAGACGCATTTTCCTAAAATCTTTCTTTTCCCGTAATAATAAATCATCAAGGTATAATATTCTTCAAGTCATACGATCCCAATAGAATATCGACCACGATTGGAAGCCGATCGGATTTCAAACAAGGAGTCTTAATGTCTCAAGGCGGGAAGCCCGACCAATGTAATGCGACCTAATCATGTTGGTATCAAAACAAATCCAAGCTGCGCACAATCTACATATTAATACAAGTAATTTAATTTAAATATTAAATTCTTATTACAAAAATTTTACTTTAAGCTGTTCTGGTTGCAGGCCAAGAGCTTAGCTCGCATAGGTGACGTAGATTCCTATACTGTTTGTAAATATAGTTTGCAGTTTGTGTAAGTATGAAAAACTGCGTCAGCTATGCGAGCTTCTAAGCTAAACTAACTTAGCTTAGCTCTTGGCCTATTACCAGCATAATCTGTTGTATACTGCGATGAGATTTATAATTAGCGTTGGCTAATATTCATTATGTTATTTCCGATATTAGATGTAGAGCAATAAAACTATGCCGATATATTGGCAGATAACAACGGTCCAATGTATCTTAAAGTATATTTTAGTATCTTTCCAACGAACTACCTAGTTGTTTCAGACTAATCTATAAGCCTAGGCGCAGACCATCGATTTTTTGACGGCCGATAGTTTAGCCGGGCAATTGATCAGTATGCGTATGTATGGAAGTGCGCACTTTACACCGATTCGATTTGGCTGATTCTTCATACGATTTAAAATAGGGCACAACTATCGGCCAACTAAAAATCGGTGGTCTGCGCCTGGTCTAATCCTTACACGTGGCAGTGAAAATAAAATAATAGAAACAATAAATATCCTTGCACTCTATTCTTTGACCAACAAAAAAGCAAGCATGATTCATTAGCATATCATATCTAACAAGCCGTAACCAGTGACAGTAGCAGTGACTGTATCGACTTATAAATATCACGTTCCTTTAATCGATAAGGGTGACTATCTTGCCTTCAAGAGTATTAGGTTTCGAGACGGTCGGATGAACTCGTGATACGGTAGTCGACATCGGATTAAGTGACGTGGATTTAAACATGATTTTATTATGAATGGAATTAGATCTATTTTTGCAAATTAATCGTGGTTTGGAGAACTTTCACAGCTTATGGATAGACTCGAACTCTGAGCAGACTATTTCCTTTCTAATAAGATCTCTGGTACAAAATCAATTATTCAAAATCGATATGTTTTTGCAAGTAGGCTCCCAACCCTACCACTGCTCGCAAAAGTGCCGAATATATAAAAAAAACCTACCACTGCTTCGGGACAGTAATATGGGCCAGTGCTGAGAAGAAACAGCGCAAGTAACACAGTTTTTATATGCCATTGAACTTTTGTTTCTAAAAAGCGTTAGTGACATTCAGTAAACATTAAATTACAATTTACTTAACGTGTTTTCTTCTTATAACTTAGACCGAATGATACTAGAACAACTGATTTTTAACTGCATTCTTCTAGATAATAGGAGAAGGTATGACGCGACCCAGTCAATTCTTCTATGGGTAAAGATAAATCCATGCTCCATAAACAAGTTCTTTGTTAACCAGTTTTGTGATTAATATAGTATTACATGACAACAGGAATTCACATGTGCAAATCTTAACATCATAACTCATAATGCAAACATAATTCGGATTTATAGAGGAAAAGTTTTAAAACTTATTTGATCTTCGAGTTATCGTGTGATTGAAATGTGAGAAACGTGTCATTGGGATTAAGATATAAGTGGTGGCAAATTCGCAAATGTGGGTAGACAACCTTCAAGACTTCTAATCTGCACTATTATTAAATAAATGCAGCGGTGCTAAGGAAAACTTTCATTGGGAAAAGTCTAGCAATAAAAAGACGATTAGAAAATTAGAATAGAAACAAAACAAAACAAACTATCTATGTTAGTAATCACTAATCAGTGAAGAAAAACTGCATAAGTAATCTAGAGGAATATTGATGTAAAACTTGAATATAAGTCCCCTTATGTTCCTGAATTCAGATTTTAAGCTAGAGTTGCTTGCTACCTTGAGTAGAACTTTTCGTATTAAGTTCATACATAAAGTAGGATAATAGTAATAATAATAGGATGAGCAGTAATGACCAAGCTAAAATTCTCAATACCCAAACCGGGGGTTAATCTATCCCCCCATTATCGATTCACCTTTCCACTCGTCTACGAGTATGCGTTAATACATGCGAAATGCACTAATGACCTCCCCGATATTCCCGCGAACAAATGGCGCGCTATTACCGCGGCTTTGTCCGGGGGGCGGGGAGGGGAGGGGATGATTGATACGGGGCTGCGCCGGCGCAGTCACGACGCGTGCGAGTAGGGCTGGCAACAAGGAGTTTACTTGTGTAAAAGGAGAGAAAATGACTGAAACTGACTGACGTAAACGTATAATATAAATATTTTTGTTAACTTGTGACAAAAGATTGTCTACATGACAGGCTTAGCCTAGCGTAGAAATCTCAGTTACTTTATGAACTGAAGCGTATGTCGGTACAACCTTAGCAACCTTAACTAAAGAGAGGAGGGCGCTGTCTTTAGAAATTAGGAAAGTAATCTACATAAACTAATATTATAAATGCGAAAGTAACTCTGTCTGTCTGTATGTCTGTCTGTCTTGCTTGATTTTGATGAAATTTGGCATAGAGATAGTTTGAATCCCGGAAAAGGACATAGGATACTTTTTATCCCGGTTTTTGAAACAGGGACGCGCGCGATAAAGTTTTTCTGTGACAGACAAAATTCCACGCGGGCGAAACCGGGGACGGAAAGCTAGTCTATATGTATATATAAAAATGAAACCCGTTTTCCGTTGTCACGACATAACATGAAAACTGCTTGACCGATTTGGCTGATTTTTTTTTGTAGTTTTCTAATACTCTGTACAAGGTTTTTACGGAAAAAAATATAAAGAAAATCTCTACGCTAAGGCGGTACGAAGTTCGCCGGGTCAGCTAGTTTCGTATAAAACTTTAAAAGCTCATCAGGCAAATAATAAGTCTAAGGATTTTTTTAGTTCTTGGCGTGCATCTCACCTGATGGAAAGTGATGATCAGGCCGAAGATGAAAGCGAGCACAGAGGAACTGGCTATCTTACCTCCAACTGCAGGAACACAAAAATTATGTTAACATTGTTAAGGATTGGATGTGCGAGACGAACTAAGACTTATAGCTGATTTAGTTACCTATTTAACAAATTAATACATGTAAATCAGCCCTAACTTGGCAGAATGATGGTCAAGTGACAAATTTTGACGTAGACATAGCTATGATTACAAACTGATTATAATGTATCCTCGTAATTCAACGTCTGTAAAAGATGCGGTTACAATACTGTCAACCTAATTCAATTGGACAATTTTTGAAACTGAAACGTGCCAGCCCTATTCACACGTCTTGCCGCGGAATTCGAGCGTTTTGCGTATTTATACCTTTTTTGCATTTCGTGTATTACACTTAATAGTATAATGCATCGTGTTCTGCTGCATTTTACAAGAGCAATGAAGGCTCACTATTGGCATCTTGAGACTTCTTCATTTAGCCACCATCTTTGTGTCTTCTATTTCAATTAATAGTCAATCAAATACTCGTAGTCAATAGTCTTTCACAAATTGTTTTTTTACATTGTCTTTATGAGAAATTGATTTTTCTTTATGCCTCTACATTGTTATCCCCATATCAAATTCGGGATAGCGTCGTACGATAGTATTCTAAGGGTTGATTTCAGGCTGACCGGCTATAAAACCAATGAACAATGCAGCATTTCATATCGCAAGTACCGGACTTGATGTGAGAGTGACTAATGACTATGCCACTTCCTGATGACCTCTTGGGCATCAGTACAAATTATTTTTACCAACTCTCTCCATTCTTCGGAGTAATTTGAAATTATGTTTTACCAACTCAAAATGAGTTTTCAAAGCTGCTGTAACCTAAACATCCCAACTAATCCCAACTAATATTATAAATGCGAAAGTAACTCTGTCTGTCTGTCTGTCTGTCTGTCTGTTACGCTTTCCCGCTTAAACCTCGCAACCGATTTTGATGAAATTTGGCATAGAGATAGTTTGAGTCCCGGGAAAGAACATAGGATAGTTTTTATCCCGGTTTTCGAAACAGGGACGCGCGCGATAAAGTTTTTCTGTGACAGACAAAATTCCACGCGGGCGAAGCCGCGGGCGGAAAGCTAGTTCACTATAAAGTCAAAGTCAAAATTTCTTTATTTGTATAGACTATTATATGTATAGTGCTTACAAATCGTCAAATATTTTGCTCATAAGGAGCCTCTACATGTCTCATAATCTTTTTACCCTACACCTACTTACTTCGCCTTTGATTCATTCTACCATATTTTGTATGCGTATACGTTTAATTAAGGACACTGCACTGATCGCAATATCGGAACGCGATTATAAGCCTATACGTCTTCGCGAAGACCTACGCGTGCGCCGTGATACCCCGCGCCGGCTCGTCTTACATAACTGGCATGTGCTCAGGCTAGGCATTTGCTTATTGAATTAATTATCGACGAAAACCATATTCTGTCAGACTGATACATTTATTCAGTCAGGTCATATTGGTGATGGAATCTGAGGATCAAACGCATCCCTCATCTCGGTAATCACCATTAGATTTGGATGAAAGAAACTGAAGGTTTGGGTATGCCTAGAATCCATTAAAACTATGTCATTTAGTTTAGATATTTGCACCAGACCAGATACATGTTTTCCACCAATTCCAATGATAGGTGCTTACTAGGACACTTCGCTATCTTGAAAGTAAAAATAGTATAACAAACAACCTTACTTCTTCTTGGTTTATATAAGATTTTAAATTTTCGCATTAAGACCCGTTTCTTACTAATTCTTGGTTTATGATCAAAAATTAACGGTTAGACAGATCCCTGCTATAGGTGTAATAAACGGATCAAAATCACTGATCGATTGTAGAATTTTCTTTCAGAATGTAGAGTGCTCTCTCTCTGTCTGTCTGTCTTTCTTTATTACTAATTCAGAATTAAAAAGAGCACTCTACTCTTTTTCTTACCATAAGTAGTCTTCATTATTCCAGTTTGCTACGAATAAGTCGAAACCCACCAGCAGGCTTCTACTCTAACGCCCGTATTCACAAACATTACTATGAGGTCTCACAGTGCGCGTGGACGCACAGGGTGACACATGAACCAATCACTGAGCTCTATTCAATGCTGTGCGTTCGATTTGCTGCTTCACTTAAGCAAGCATCGTTTGTGAATACGGGTGTAAGCCTTGCCTAGTAACAATCATCACGAGTCAAGCTCCGTTATTTCACAACTAAGTGCAAGCCCGATTTGGCGATCGACCCAATAATGTATGACTAACACTTGAATGACTTGGATCAAAGCAAACACCCGTCATGATGAGCAGGTTATAAACTGCTGAGCAAACAAAAATCTTATTAATCATCAGCAGGTATGTTGTGACCGTTTAGATGGGTCTCTGTATAGGTATACTTACACTGGTTATGGTCAAACACACTCTTGACAAAATTACTTAATTATTGAACACTGAGTGGTGAAATATAATTTTCTTGATATTATTAATACTAAAAATAGACGAGTATTCTTAGAAGTCTGAATCTGAATACCCTCTAGTCAGGCGGGGTTTTCTCATACCTTTGAGGAGCGATAATTATATTCATTTTAATTGTTTATTCAGCAGTTGTGATCTTGATACAATTAGTAATAAGAGTAAAATATTTACTCTGTGACAATCTCTATGGAAATTCATTTAGTTTACCTTCTTATACGCGCAAAACCGTGATAGTACCGATACTACGGTGACTACGGCCTACAGCAATATGCTAACTTTCTTTAATTTCTAAATATATCGCGAAAATCTCTTTTCATGTAAAACAATACAACACAATCACATTCAAACCGTCAATTAAATGGCGTCTTTTAATAACTGTAAAGCTACTTATAGAAAGTGGAAATATCGCCTATTGTCCACGCGTCCATAACAACATTACACATAGTTGCAAGCTTTCTAGCAAGGTAACATAACATTTCTCTAGAGTTGATTTGAATAAAATGCCTAAGATGTATGCCGCCAGCTCATTTGTCCAATATTACGGGACATAATTATTTAAACTATGCAAATTGAAGGTTCGCTGAAGCTAATGAAAGGCCCGCGCAAATTATTGATAGAGTGCAAGAACAGCTCCTATCAAGGGGACCGAGAAGCCATTTGCAAAGCTTGATGTGGGATTTGAATCATTTATATGCAGTGTATTCTGTGCAGCAGTTGAATAAAACAAATGAAAAACAGGCAAGAAATGTACTTGAAAATGCTTCGATTTTAATCATTTGACTCATGTAAGTGATTCGTAAAGTTAAGCTATCGATGCGTTTAATTATTAGTCAACCTATGCTGGTCACACATTAATGAACAAATAACTAGGGTTCTATTATGAACCTTAGTAATAACTCTACCAGAGAAAGAATCCTTGGTTCGAACTCCTTCTGAGACATAAAAATTGAAAAGCTCGTTGTGAGGGAGAGTGTTCTGAAAATACAATTCAGTGTAAGATTTTATGACTATTTCATGAAGCCAGGGAGAATGGAATCGTAATATGTTACTACAACTTAATTAAACTATAGAGGAAGAAGAAGCTGGTATAATTAATTGGATCCTATTACACATTTATTGTTTTATGGGGCTAGTCTGAAAAATTGCCTCGCTAGCATTTATTATAAACATTAATTCTACAAAACCGTTAACCATCATACAGTTAATCAACAACATTAATAGGAAAGCGATATTAACAAATAGGGAAGGTATTACAGAATAAATTGTTGCTACGAGGATGCGGGCGCCCGCAAACCAACGTCTCTACCCGAACCGTCTTAAATCATCACCTTGATAGACGAATTTAGACTCTATCATATGTTAATTAAGTTCATTACATTTAGATTAGTACTACAATACGTTGATTAAAGTTGTTTTTAAAAGTCGGGAGAAAAATTTCGTGTTCGATAACATTTGCCTGACGCTACGGGCTGTTAGTTACGGTTGTAAATAATGAATTTCGTGGCGAATTTTTCTTTGAGAACGTACCTATAAAATACTTACTGATTGAACACAATTCAGTAAAAAATGACTCAGAATTGCAGTCATGAACGTCATACGAATTTAAAGTAGTTATACGATATTTCAGTCTTGTATCGAAACCCTATCCATTCACAAATAAATGAACACAATTTACAAAATATTTTTTCCCACTTTTAATAATGCAACGTCTACTAATTTTCTTTTGCTGAATTACAGGCCAAAGTAAAGTATGCATGTATTAACAAAACCACAGGTATTGTAGAATAGATATGCACTGACAAAATTATATTATGTATCATTTTGTCCACTATTAGTGTAAAGCTCTATGGAAGAAAACCGTCAGTTGTTTTTCAGTGTCTAACATATCTATACTGCATCAGTTTTGAGCAATAACGTGAAGAATCAATGATAAACTCAGTTCTGTCTTCTCGCGAACGCGAACATGCGATCGCGGCTATTCGCGAACATGTAACAACTATGCGCGTACCGGTGGAATGGTAACTAGGAGTTTAGAACATGATTGCGCTACTTTATTATTGAAACAACTGTAGGTCTCAGTGTGAAAAGCATTAGAATTTTTCTACAGGTTGGTTAGACAATGTCTCTAGATTAGTGGTAAGTCCGGTATACTCGTAGTTGTTGCAATTCACGAAGGCGAGTGAGCTTTACATGTGTGGTGGCTCGCTACTAATCGTTTTTCAAACATTTTGACAGACATTACACTGTCGTTATACACAAGTAAAGCTCACTCGCCTTCGTAAGTTTCAAGAACGTATAAGCGAAACGTTGTGGGTTCTTTATCCACCTGAAACTTTCAATGGATTCAAGTGTTTGAGATAAGTAAGTAATATATTTATTTATTTATTTATTTATTTATTAATAGGTACAGTTACAGTACATAGAATACTACTTATTTAGTAAAAAAAATACAGCTACAAATCACTTACAAATCTATGGACCAATTACAACTGCACACAACTATGCCTAATAACTTAAGTGCTTAGATAAAACA